ATGCATCTACATTTTTTTTTTTACATTTCATAGTTTCATAGTAATCTTCCATTTTATATTAGATTTTAAAGACACCAACACAAAATAGGCCTAAACCACAACAAACAAACAAGGAACAGATACTGTTAGCACAGCTTATAAATATTGCAAGTAACCACATGACATTCCATATAGAGTTTAAGTGTATATATATATATATATATATATATATATATATATACACACACACACACACACATACATACAATACAAAAACACAATATACTGTATACACATACACACACCCTTACATATGCATTCAAATATATAATTATATTATAAAATATACTTAGTTAAATATTGTGAAAAATGCAAACAATAATTTGGCATTTAAAATATTTAAAGCATTTATTTATTTCAGTATATAAAATTTAAAAAAAAAATGCGTTTGTGGTTCTTAACCTCTGTTACCCTACTATAAGTGAGTAATTGAAGGTCTCCCTACAAATCCTATTTTTGTACTTCTGCTGAATTTCTTTAATAAATCATAGAATTGTTTTAATTTTTAATAAATTCTTTCTTTAATAAATAAATAAATCTAATTAAAATAATCATTATGATTAATCTCCATTTCAAATACATTCTTTTTTTAAAAAGAAAAATGTGTATGAAAAAAGTTACATATGTAACAAAGTTGTTTTCTTTATGCTGCACGGATGCAGAATGTGTTAGACAATCAAACAGTATCTGCTGACAATTATTGAAAAGGAAACATTGGAGAAAATAGCTCCATATTTTTCCATTACCAATTATACAACCCACTGCTTTAGTGGTGTGCCAAAAGAAGCTGCAAATCAACATTTTAATGCTTAAAGAAGCTATATGAAACTGGAAGCAATGCTGATTGTACTGTGAAAAATGTGCAGTAATTTCAAGGAAGTAAAACAAATTCATGCTCCAATTTGAAATCAATTTATTTATGGCAAATAATGATAAAAATCTTAATCCAAAAAACCTAATCAGCAAGTAGCAAATCTCATGAAAATAAGGGAACCCTATGGTTACATTGCCATCGTGCTTTCGAGGAAAGAACAGGCATTCTGTTGATGATAATAAATCATAATCTGACAGGATGAAGAAGAAAGCACCGATAAGCTCCTCCCACGTACGCAACGAGTGCTTTGCCTTCAGCTCACGTGCAGCATGTGTAATGTGGCGGAAGCCTGGCACGGTCAGAACACACATCTCGTTCTGTGTGCATTGCTGTCACACTACATGCAGAGATGGTTCATTCATACAGCGGATTGTCAATGCTGCTAGTCTTGAGTGTTACATTTTTTTGTGTCAAGTCTTTTGCATGCTTCTACATCACTCAGAGCCTAAAGCCCTTGTGAGGGGGTTGCTCGGTGTTGCAAAAGGTTATGTATGCATGCAATGTGGTTTGCAGGGGGATTTCATCATTGCTTTGCTTGAGGCTGGGGTTATTTCTCCAAAGAACGGTCAGACAAGATTGCTCACTGCCTGACGTGACACCTACAACAGCTCCAGATTGACCAGGAACATCTGAGGGGAATCAACTAGAAGGATTTTTTGAACTTTAATGTCAATAAATGAAAGCTGAAGTACACTGGTGACTTGGAAAAAAGTGTCACCAAGACTAATTGCCACCAAGACATAAAATACTTTTTTCAAGAACATAAAAAAATCTGAATTATTCCAAACTTTTGGCCTACAGTGTATATCTGAGGCATATTATAAAAATAAAAAAAACAAGAGCTTAACTATTAAAAAAGATGGATAAAATACTGTTTCACAACTGTATAAAACACTTCACAGTATTACACAACAGACAACGGGATGTTTCTAAGCAATTTGTATAACCTTCCACATTCCAGCGTAAATGAACACAACCACTTTCACTGCCGACAGCACTGACATACAACACACAACTCTCGCCATACTTCATACATTACACCTGAAGGTATTATGAGAGCATGTCAAAACATGTCAGCGATGGTAAATGAAGATGTTGCAAGCATAACTTGTATACAAAAAACAGCTGTAGCTATTTGGATTGAGTTGAATTTGTGACATAATGCTGTTGTACATTCAATGTAGAAAAGATATTATGGTAATACTACCATGATTTGCATGATTTCTACAATTAGTATGTATCTTACAATGAAGTATAAAAGCAAAACAAAACAAATGTTTCATAAAAATAACTATATCTGTCCTTTTAAGGCAAGGCATGCGCTTTTTTTTCTTTGAGAGCAGCACTCGCTCTTTGGATACTTCTGGTTATTGATCTTAATACTTCATTTTGACAGCTTCATGTACTGACCCTGCCATCTGTTGACTGAAAGTTCTTGGTAAATGTCAAGGGGAAAAGTGTTTGGCAGAAGGTGCATTTAGTTTGTTAAGATGGAATCGACTGGAGGCTTTATGGTAATGACAAATGATGACATCCAATAATAAATCCATTCACTGTTATGCCCCTGTTGAAATTCATCCAATTTAATTTCTTAAACCTTCTAAACAGTCCACTTTTGGGGGTTAAAGATTGACACATTAATCAATAAACATAATACAATTTTTAAATTGAAATCTATTTCCACAACATTTAAAGAGACTTAATTTTAACACACTCATGTACAGCATAGCTTTTCATTAAACAGGAAGTTTCAGAAATGTTCAGTCCAAACTGCCACAATGGCAAATTCCCCATGAAGGGCTGAATATTTTAGATCAGATGTGTGTATAACATGATTAATGGTTCTGCTATTGTCACACTTGCAGTACATGGTTAAAAGTTCTCTCTCTTCAGCAGATAAATCATGCGTTTCCTCGCGTTTTCTGAGCTTGGACAGCCTTGTATCCATCACGATCAGAAAGTCCATATTTTGTTACTGTCTTGAAGAAGAGGTGGTTAATAGGGAACGTCTGGATTATGGCAGCAGCTGCCTGCCATGTGTATCTCATCTCATCTCAGACACTGTATGATCTCTTATAGTAATGCTGTTTTTGCACTTCATAAATATGCGTGCTGCTATATAATATAAATCAATTATTTGTCTTGTAGAATTGAGTTATTGTTATTGTGTAATGCTCGATGCACCAGTCTCTGTACATTATGATAGCACTTCCCTTGAAAACCATAAAATATGAAGCATTAATAAAAATATTTGTTGTGCAATCATAATGGGCAAAATTTCATAATATTGTATCTGTGGAAGTGTGGCATATGGGCTTACCACAGGATCAGAGCACAAACGGTATTAAAGCTTTCCTTGATTTAGGATAGTCTTCAAATTTTGTGAGATACCACCTGTAAAAATTAAATAACACATTACAAAACAATCTCTGATACTGATGTCATCATACAACAAAAAACGTGTATGGGTGAATCTGTCTAGAACATGTCGAAATCACATTTCACTCTAAAAAAGAGAAATAATACAAAAGAAAATAGTAATACTTTCTTTTAATTAAATAAAAAGTGGTTTAATATTTATATAGTTGTTGAAATCAGTGTTATTTTAGTTTCTCGGAGATATTACAGTATATATTAATATTTTGCATTAGTTTTTATTTTGTATTCATTTTGACTTTAGTTAATGTTTCAGTAATTTTGTTGTGTTTTTGTCATTTTGATTGGTTCTTGTTTTTTGTCTATATAATTTTTATTTAAAAACCAGAAATATTTGTGGGGAAAATGTAAATGTCACAATGCAAATAGTCCTAATAGGCTTCATATTTGTTTTCACTTATTTATGTTATAATTATTATTTCATGTGATTCTTGAATTAATTATGACTCAGACATGAGAATTGAAAGCATACAAAAGTTTTTTTGTTTTTTTTTGATAATTGCAATCACCTTGGGCAAGAATGCATTGTTTCATACGGTAATGTCTTACTTGTGGTGGGCCATTCCTCTGCTGGACAGCACAATGAGAGTGAAGAGAGCAAAAGCTGCACTATGGACCGAGTGACCAGCCAGAGCAAATCCAGTCCACTCCACAATCTCCCCAAAGAAGTTTGCTCCTGATACATACTCAAACATGCCCCCTACAAACAGAAAATAGTTAAGTAGAGACATTTGATCGGAAGACATCACACAAACGATCTGTTTCCTAAACAATAAAAAAACTATTTCAAGCCTGTTTCAAAGAAGAGAAATCGCATCACATGAGTCTTATTAAGTGTGAAACCATCTGACCAGCACGTTGTCTTTTTTTATATGTCAGAAAAAAGCATGTCTGATTCATCATGTCAGTCATCACTTATACATCAAATAAAAGAAGAACGAGCCTTTGGATTTAAACAACTTTGACATATTGGATTCATTTTAAATCCATTTGTTTTGGCTAAACAATGCAAGCAGACTTGATAAATTTTTGTTGAAGGCTTACCGACTCACATATATTATGCATATTGTGATTTTTTATTCAGTTTCATTTATTTTGTAATTTTTTTGATAATAACCTGTAGAGTAGTGATGGCAGCTTTAAAACACTTGTCCTTAAAAAATAAAGAAAAAAAGTAAGTGAAGTAAAAGATGATTGCATTTGCATCCTGCATGGACACTGACTGTATGGGAAAAGAGATAGAATGAATGTCACAAACTATTAGGATCTCTGGAGCAGGGTGGTCCTGACAAGTTGCTAAGGCAATGAGTCACGAACAAAAAGGGCATCTATTTTTATTTTCTTTCAGAGGCAAAGCCAGATTCAAAGGGAAACAGAATTTTTTTTTTTGCATTGCATTAACACTCAAACCAGCACTGAAGAGGACGCCTTAGCACTGACCACCCATCTGAGCGGTGTGTGCTGTGGTTCAAATGATTTGTGTTCTGTTCTGAATACTCTTGAATATGTATGTATATTGGCACCAAATTTTATGATCATTTTTGAATTTAGAATATTCATATATTGTGGTAAAATCAAAAGCCTGTTTGTAAAATGTAAAACTGCATGATGCTGTTACTCAAATTTTGTGACTGTTTTATGTGAAACATGGTAAAGACGCTGTGCACTAACATTTTAGTCCATTTCAGTGCACGATTTTAGGCCACATTTCCCACTCTAACACATTTCCAAATCATAAATGGTGCTGTCAGTCTGATAATTGCTGTCTTACCTCTAGGTATCTTATAGCCTGTCTCTCCAGGCTTACGGAGGTTCCTGAGAATATGGTCAGAGTGAATATTAATGATGCATCCCAGGAACCACATACAAGACCCTGAAAAAACATAATACATTTACAATATGAAAAAAAGATGCTCACCAAGGCAAAATACAGTAAAAAAAAGTCATATTGTAAAATATTATTATAATTTTTTACAATTTAAATAACTCTATTTTAATATATTTTTAAATTTAATTTATTCCTGTGACGCAAAGCTGTATTTTCAGCATCATTCCTCCAGTCTTCAGTGTCACGTGATCCTTCAGAAATTATTCTAATATGCTGATTTGCTGCTCAAAAACATTTCTTATTATTATCAGCATTGAACACAGTTGTGCTGCTTCATATTTTTTGAAAGCCATGATACATTTTTTTAAAGGATTTTTTGATTAATACAAACTTCAAAAGAACAGCATTTATTTGAAATACAAATCTTTTGTAACATCATAAATGTTTTAACTGTCATAATGTGTCCTTGCTGAATTAAAGTATTTATTTATTTAAAAATAAAACATAGTATACAATGTATACTGTAACAAAATGATTGCTACAAAGGCCTCTAGGGAATACAGGGGAATTCTGGGAATGGCAGCGAATGTTCGGTCAACCATGACAGGTCAGCCAGGGTTCAGAGAGATTACCAATATCTATACCCTGCAGTGGTCAATGCTACAGTAACCAGTCAGGTGACCTACTGTAAGGTCTAGAGAAATGATCTGGAATGTGAGAATAACAAGAAGTAACTATTTATGTCTCTTCCTTGACCAGTAGAGTGAATGCATTGTGTTCTGTCATGTGCTGATGGTGCCCTGGTGGTGAGGGATGAATTCCAGCATCAGCTCTTAAAAAATATTATATAGAAACAAACACTCATCTTGTATGAAAGAGGATAAGCAACATGATAGAAATGACACTTATACTGAGTCTTTACTCACTAGCACTGTGATGAAACAGGGATGTGTACATCAGCTCTTAAAAGTATTAGAAACAACACTATATTCTATCTTATATATTAGAAGATAAGCAGAAATGACACTTATACACTGAATATTTACTCACTAGCACCTACCTATGATGAAACAGGGATGTGTAACCCAACCAGGTGGGTAATCTGCATAGTGACTCAGGTATCTTGCCTGCAGGTACCCATTATAAATGCAGAAGACAAAGGCCAGGACAAACGAGATGAATGGTGTGGATTTCCCTCCTCGAATTAAAAATGGGTAGATGAGGGACCTAAGAGAAATACATGCTTCAGTTTATGTAAAAAAAAAAAAATTATATATATATATATATGCACACACACACACATAGATTTAAAAAAAAAAAATTTTATGTTGTATAACAAGGAAAAATCATACCTTTGCAAACAATGGAAAATGAACATGAGCAGAAGTAGCTGGTTGGGCAGGTGCATTATCTTTGCACATTGACTCCAGAGCACCAAACTCAAGGCACCAGAAAAGCCGGCAGCTCCTTAACAAACCAGGCGAATTGAACATTCACAGGGAATCCATACCTCCTGGATGCATATCTGCCATAGGGCACGTGCTCAAAGAGTAAAGTCACAAAAGTTATGAATGCCATAACCATAATCAAGTACGATAAACAATCCAAAACGTACACTTCTTGCTCCTCCGAGGAGAATAATGTCTTCAGAATAGCGTCCATAATTGCTAATACCACTTAAGTAGAAGAAAGGTTCAGGTAATGTTTTGTAACTCGTGCACAAAACAAACTGGCGCCGCGGAGAAACCTGGAAGACCCGCCCATCACAACAGGGGTTTCGCCAATCAAGAAAGACGGTGGGCGGGGCATGTACAAAACACGCCTTAATATATGCACGTTTTTAAAAGCTAGTGCTGCATAAGCGGCTCCTATTAGTAACTATAAAAGAGATGTATATTTTATTGTTTATTGATCTTTTACTGTTGCTTTCCTAATTTGATATTTTTCAAAAACGTAGTCAAATGCAGAATGAAATATTGACATGCAGAACAACATCCACGGTGAAAACGCATATTTTGATTTGCGTTATTTTTATAGTTGTACCATGGTAAGTCGTGTTTTATTCTTCTGACTGTGAATTAATTAGGATTAAAGGTTTAAAGGTAGAAAAAGAAAAGCTTCTGCATATAAGTCAGGCAATAATGCGGGCACCAAGGAAGGGGTCTTTCAGTCGAATGTGCGCTTGTTTAGATTGCGTCACGAACACGTGAGTACAGAAGGAGCTGAGAAGCGCAGTTCAATCAAAACGCAACGCAGGTTTATATCCAGAGTTATATGCGTGTCCAACATGGGCAGGAAAAACAGAAACAGACAAAGAGCTCAGCAGGACAGAGATGGAAGACCAGAGGGGAAAAGAAACAGAGATGATGCTGTGAGTTTGCTAACTGCTCTAGCTTCTTACTTTTCTGCCCGGTGCCAACACTGCAGATTCATTTCTGAATATAATTTATGTTGCACGGTGATTACACACATTATATAGTTATATCATTGTTATTGTATAATATAAAACAGTTTCAATGTAATCTCGTGGTAAATGGCATGCAGGTAGGTAGTAATGGTCACTCACGTGGGTTCTTTTGGCAGGGCTGGGGAGCTGGATACTCTGAGATCATCAAGGAAAACAAACTCTTTGAGCATTACTACACGGAGCTGAAGATTGTTCCCGAGGGAGAGTTTGAGGAGTTCATGGAGGCCATGAGGGAGCCACTGCCAGCTACAATACGCATCACTGGATACAAGAGGTGACCTGATGTTTTCTGCAGGTCTAAAGTTGTAATTGAATGACAAACAGTGATTTGACTGCCACACCGTTTGAATTAGGACTTAAATGGTTGAAAAATACTAGTTAAATTCTATTTACTGCTCTCAGAATCGTATCATTTACCACTGACCGTCAGCCGTGCTGCTTTCAAGCCATATTGCTTGACAACTTTCATGGATAGTTGAGAGGACATTGTAATTTCATAAGTGACAATATACTCGTGTCACGATTCTGTTTGATATATCAGTATCGTATCATATCATAATATGATACTTACATTTTTTTTAATATATTATGTAAACAAAACTTTTATTTTGGATGTGATTAATCGCGATTAATCGTTTGACAGCACTAACAATTTTACATTTTTTTTTGAACAATGTTTATCGAGATGTAACAAAATATGAGAGTAATACAACAATGTTGTAGTCGCATCTCTTTTACGTATGAATAACAGTAACAAAAAAAGAGAAAATATATATAATAAAAAAACAACACTTTATTTCAGGTAGTAACACAATAGAAGTTGGAAATATAAAGTGTATACAACAATTTTACAGTTATTTGTCCCTTTTTCAACCCCTGTAATCAGTCATGCCAAAGAAATCCTTCATACTCTTAAAGAGAAATACTTCAAAGAGGTTCAAGATCTTGAGGTGGATGGGCAGAAGATCGAGGCTCCTCAGCCCTTAAGTTGGTAAGATGAATACAAAGTTATTTGCTTATGTGTCTTACTTTTAAATTAGTTTTGAATGTCCTTGGAAATCTGTAAAACATTGTACATGCTGTTATAGGTATCCTGATGAACTTGCATGGCACACTAACCTGAGCAGAAAGATTCTGCGCAAATCTCCACTCCTGGAGAAATTCCACCAGTTCTTGGTCAGCGAAACTGAATCGGTAAATAAAAATCAGTAAATGCCTGTGGAACCTCTTTGTTTTTTAATAAATGCAAATATAATTTTTGACCAGCCATTCTTTTAATCCAATTTCCTCAATCAGGGGAATATTAGCAGACAGGAAGCAGTCAGTATGATTCCTCCTCTTCTACTGAAAATTGAGCCTCAACATAAGGTACATCATCTCAACAGCTGAATGTTTTTCTGTGTTGTGTGTTTTCCGCACTTGGGGAATCTTTATAATTGTGAGGTCTCATCTCCACCATCTCTCTGGCTTGTCTGACTAGATTCTGGACATGTGTGCAGCTCCAGGATCGAAGACTGCTCAACTAATAGAGATGCTTCACTCTGACATGGATGTGCCTTTCCCTGGTAAACAGTTACTCATTAGTATGGCTTTTCATTTAAGATGATCATATCTCATAGTTATCCTCCATCTCTTCTGTGTCTTCAGAGGGTTTTGTAATTGCCAATGATGTGGATAACAAGCGCTGTTACCTGCTGGTCCACCAGGCCAAGAGATTGAACAGTCCGTGTATTATGGTGGTCAACCATGACGCCTCTAGCATTCCACGTCTGCACTTAGAACAGGACGGGAAGAAGGACGTCCTGTTTTATGACCGGATCCTGTGTGATGTACCCTGCAGGTGAGGGTCTCTGCTTGGACCCAGAGTTGGTTTTATTGACCTCCATGAAAAAGCTCTAGTTTTTCAATCAAAATATTAAATTAGAAATGTCGCCTTGCCAAGTAACTGAAATAGAATGAGTAATTAGAGCTGCATGATGATGGTTGCACTGTTAATCAGGATCATTTTGCTCAAATCGGTACGACTCAAGAGAATGACAACTTGCATGGTTTGCTAGCAGATTTAGTCTCGGCAAACAACAGACCGAAAGGAAACAGACTGGCTGTATTACACTTTTATTTGAGCAGAATGGAGAACGCTAAACTTAAATTTTTGCCAGTGTGTTTTCAGCTCATCAGCACTTTAGTATAGGGAGAAAGTGCGTGTGTGGTTGCCAGGTTGGGAAGTTTAAGTATTCATTCATGAGAAAAGCACTGATTGGGGGATTTAAACTGTTTAAAATATTAAAAACTAATAAAAATGACAGAAGCACATAACACATTTTCTAAAGCCTAAACAAAAAATAAAATTAAAACTGAAAATATAAAAATAAAAGGTTATTCAGAATATAAAAATACTATAATAGTATATAAATAATACTAAAATTATACTACACAAACCCCCATACCCTTACACTATATACAACCCAACTTAAAATAATTATTATTTTGGCAAAGTATGAGGTGATCGTCTGAGCCATAGATGCCATACAGAAAAATAAGTCTGGTTCAAACTTTTAAGAATGAAACCGGGAACTGGTTTTAGTATACATGAAATGGGTTTGATTGGTTTTAGCATCTGTAGTGTCTTTCTACCTGCCAAATCTTTCTGGAAAAAAACTTAAAATTCTGTGTTGATTTTCCCGTAAACTTCCCAGAAGCTTCAACCTTACAGTCTGGTTTGTGATTATTGGTTGCTTAAAATGTCATCTGCTGGTCTCTTCTAAGTGGTTATAGGCCAAAGTAAGCTGCAAAGAGATGAGTTTAGGTACTTTGAATGTGGATTATTAAAAACATTGTTGATGTATAAGCTGCTTTCTTGTACACAGATATGAAGTTGTGATTGACCACAGTGTATGTAGGGATCACAATTATAGATGCGCACTCACATGCCAGGGCTCTGTGTTTACAGTTGAGCAGTGAATCTCTTCCCCGCGTGTAACATCATATAGCAGGGTTTATAGTTGGTGGAGTCTATACTTGGCCTGCAGCAGAATCAGGTGCCAAGCACAACACCGTCTGCTCTGTACCAGCAGGCCAAACATCTTACACACACACACACACACACACAGACAGTGTGGTCAGCCTGGTTTTGCTGCCTAAACATTTCTCTCCGTCGATGAAAGGATTTGAAGTTGACTTTAAAGATGTAATTATGGCTTGCCTTTTTGCCTGAGTAGGATTGTAGTTTCCTAACTTTGAGTTCATTCCTGAATAGCACTTTTATTTGATTCAAAATTTGCTGCCTTGTTAACCAAACACTGATGTAATTGAATTAAAAAAATGGAAAACTCTAAAGGAAACTCTTAAGTTAATACAGTCCAGTTTAAAATTACCTAAGGGTATAAATGTGGTGATGAGACCACCATCTGTAATCTGTGTAATCTGGTGAAGAATCACTAATTATCACTAACTTTTTCAAGTAACTAACAAACAGGGTGCACGGAGGTATGCAAATACATATGTTGACAGGCAGGCAGGAGAGCCTATCGTGATGTTCGGACCGAATAATTTGATTGGTCGAACATTTTATGGTCCTACACCTTCCACAGATTATATAAATGCATATAAATACATTTAGACCACTTAACTTAGTGATTGCTATCGGGATGTGAAGAGACTTTCAACCAGCATAACAAAATTTTTTTTGATCCAAATCATCTAAACTGCCTTTAAATGTAATAAGGATACCATAAAATAAAGTGTAACATGAAATGATCTGAAATTGCATTGCAATTAAACAGCAAACAATAAAATCAGCCCCTTTTTCTCTACAGTGGAGATGGAACGATGAGGAAAAACATTGATGTGTGGAAAAAATGGACAACCAGCAACAGCCTCCATCTCCACGGGTAAGACTAGTCCAGTTCAATTGGCCTATGTTCAAAATAGTGTACTATTACTGTTTTTACAGTGTGTATTTTGTGTGCTGTGAATACAGGGTTTCCGCGGGGTCTTAAAATGTCTTAAATGTATTCGTATCAAATTTAAGGCCTTTAAAAAGTCTTAAAGGGGTCATATGATGCTGCTAAAAAGAACATTATTTTGTGTATTTGGTGTAATGAAATGTTTATGCGGTTTAAGGTTAAAAAAAAACATAATTTTCCCACATACTGTACATCATTGTTTCTCCTCTATGCCCCGCCTTTCTGAAACGTGTCGATTTTTACAAAGCTCATCGGTCTAAAAAAGCGAGGTGTGCTCTGATTGGCCAGCTATCCAGTGCGTTGTGATTGGCCGAATATGGCTGAATGTGAAGATTAAACTTCAAAAGGCTATGATTTCATTAAATAAACATGAGCGTTGCACATTCAAAGTCTGGAAACGGTTCGCTCCACCTGCTGGCAGAGAATGAATGTGCATTTTCAATAAAACTGATGTTTTGTTCAGAGTTCAGACAAATGTAAAAATCCACCTATGTTTTACCCTGCAAACACGCAGAGCTTTAAATGTGAACTGGTGGATCGATAAGAAGACAATGCATTATAAAAATCTAAACAGAATAGGGGTGTGCGATATGTATGGTCTGCGATAATATCGTAATAATTGTTTTAACGATGTACGATTTGATATTGTCGAGTATAACGCGAAAAGCAAACAAAACACACCTACAGAGTGCACGCATACATTAGGTGATGAAGTCTAGTAAATTAAAGGGTTTTAAACTAGTGCGCGTACGCATTTAGAGTGCCTTCTTTCACTGCATGAATCGGTCTATTAAAATGCGTTTAGAATTATCACATAATTCAAAATATGGGGGCAGAAAATGTATATATATAATTTCATATAGTTAATATCACACGAAGAGTGCCGTTTTTT